TTCAAAAAAAAAAAAGAAAAAAAAAAGGCAATAAAGTTAGGAATGAGTAAAAGTCAGTTTTCTTTTTGACAAGCCACCATCTAAAAATATGCTAAGATACGATTTCATTAGGTAAACATTTTATTTTATTTTATTTTATTTTATTTTATTTTATTTTATTTATTTTATTTTATTTTATTTTTATTTTCAGTGATAATTCCCTTTCGTTACTAGTCATTTCAATGCATAATTAGCTTTAAATACATAGTCAAAACAACATTAAATATCCATATAATTTGTGTTAGCATATGTTTGCAGAAACTAAGCTATCATTCATCGTCAAAAGGTAAGTCCAGTAGACTGACAAACTTGCTAACTGGGTTAGACTGTTCTACAGAAAGAGAAATACAAAAATGCAAACTTCGAAGTAAGATCAAGTTCTGTAATTATGAAAACAAACAAACATAAAATAACAATATAAGCCTAAAAGATGTTCTTTTTCCTTCTCCTGTTCTTAAGTAAAATACATATTTGGGACACTGAAAACAACCTGTATAAACACTTCCATCTTCTTCATGTTCTGGAAAGATGTCACAATATTTCAAGAACAATTTCATAACATAGAGGAGCTAGAAAAGAAATAGAATTCAGTATTTAATGTTCATATGAATGAATCCATGTATTGATCACCTTTCCTGTGTATTTCCAAAATACTAACAAGCAGACAAAAGTAATGTGAAAAGTATCATGCTGAGTGGCCCCAAACCTGTGCAGAATGAATTCACTTTCAAATTCTGCCCTTGACTGTACAGAATAGGAAGTGAAGGACCTTTACTATTATTATTATTAATTATTATTTTTATTGTTATTTATTACATTGATTAATATCAAGGCCTATATGGAAATGCAGGCAATACAACTGTAGGCAATATGTGTGTACATACAGAGGTCGAGCTTTGTTTATTCAAAATTCAACCCAAATCTTTCTATTCTTTAGAAAATACTTTTTTCTCTCCACTTTGTCTTCCCAAATTCTAGATTCTTGCCTTAGAAGGAAAGTGGCACAGTGAATTATGGCACAGCTAAGTCTCTTTTACTCATATATGTGATGAGGGAAGCATATAACATTTTTCAGGAAATTTTTCAGCAAATTTCACCCAAATTTCAGCATCTGTTCCTTCACAGGCTGACAATAAAGGCACAGTCGCAGTGGCACATTACTGTGCCCAGCTAGCCACCATGACAGCACTTACCAAGGCACATGAATAAGCACTCAAATTAGTATTGCTAACATCGGCTGCAGTGTTTGGGGGGAAGAATGAGAATCTTTCAGTTTTATCTTCTGGTCTTCTGTTATAATAAACACATCATAAGAGCTTAAATTCATAGGAAAAAAAAATGTTACCAGACCTAGTAGAAAAACAATTTTATGCAATTATTATGGCTTGGAAATTTAAGAATATACTAATATGTCACTAGAGTACATTCATCCCATAATATGGTTGTGGTTAGATGGTCAAACTGAAAAACTGCTAAAAGCTTGAAGAACTTCTGTTTGTTCAAGCCCATGTTTACTGCATCAGCTTCTGCCCGTACCATGAGGTTATCCATTCAGGTGGAGGAGAGAGGTCCCCAATGGACATAGCTAATCCAGGAGAAGTCACAACCGCAAATGTAAATATGATGAAAAACTCCCTTAACCAGTAAAGCTTGCTTTGTGTATGTAACCCACCAGTGGAAAGAGCTGTTGATACAGCTGCATCCACTCTCCGCGCCCTTTGCCGGCCAGGCACATTACTGCGCTATTGCAGTCAGAGCTCCGCATGCCCTGGCCACAGCACAGTGTTTCTGTCATTCCCCAGGCAGTTCCATTCTGAGTGCTGCCACACTCTGCATCATGCTTCATTTCTTGATGAGGCAAGTCACTTTTTTTTTCCTGTGAAATTTTGTTAAGAGCACTTGTTTGGGCGTTTTGCTGTTCTGTTCCACGAGAGGAGGAGCAGAGCAGGAAGAGACCAAGAGCTGTGGGCAATGGCCTCTCTGTGCCTGGAGTCCAACTGCGTATGACAGGGAAAGTGGGCTTGGGAAAAGATGTTATGAAGGACATTTTCCACATTTACACCAAATTGATTTCTACTTGTCCCAGTCACACTTCTTTCCAATTAAGGTTGAAAACTATTTTATTCTATTAAGGAGTACTGTTATCATTAAAGTTTGCAACAACTCATTAGTTCAATTTCTGTACTGTGACAAGAGTTTTACCTTTTGAACCTCAGCAGCCTTGTGACAAACGTACCCACAGTAACAACAGACAACACCGGCTACCACAAAGCACCAGCCAGCTGCGTGGTAGGAGCACTCTGAGCCTCACCCAGGTGCCTATGACACCCCTGGGATTCTTGGGATGTGGAGCACAAAGCAAATGTCACTATAAAGTCCCAATGTCATTACTGCAGCTGTACATTTCAGACACCCTCCACTATTGCTGATAGATCTGTCAAACATCTTTTCACCACAGAGG